AAATTTAGGGTGTAAAGTTTTAGAATGTCACATCGAATGTCATATGAAGGTGTCGTATATGGTGTTCGGATACTAATAAAAAAACAAATTACAGAATCCGTTAGTAATCCACGACAAATTACAGAATCCGTTAGTAATTCACGAGATGAATTTATTAAGCTTAATTAATCCATCATTAGCACATATGTATTGTAGCACAACATTGTCAAATCATGGACTAATTAGGCTTAAAAGATTCGTTTCGCAAATTAGTCGCAAACTGTGCAATTAATTATTTTTTAGTCTATATTTAAAACTCTATGCATATGTTAAACATTTGATGGGATAGAGAGTAAACTTTAGGGAGGAACAAAACAAAGTCATAGACAGACGCCTTGTATAGTGGCCACCTGTCTGGTGGGCTCTCTTTCTTAAATGAGTTTAAGCTCTATTACATATTTTAATATATATATATATATATATATATATATATTAACTTCTTATTCTGTAGCTGGCTATAAAATGACTTATTCTGTAGCCACTTTGAGTTACGATAATTACTATGTTAATTTACGAGATTATAGTAACTCCTTACTAAGTAGTTTACTATAACGTTATGGTAAATATTCTCATGTGTTATAGTAACCCAACTATCGTAAATATGTATTGACATTATCATAAATTAGTATATAAAATTATCGTATATGGAGGTGGCTATAGAATAACTTATTTTGTAGCTGGCTACTGAATATACTCACCATATCTATACTCTCAGGAGCGGTTACTCCCACCATATCTATACTCTCGGGAGCGGTTACTCCCACCGAAAGTATATGCATCTAGCAGGAGTCGGGGCTGGTTAACTGGCGGAGAAATGCAGACCCATTTGGACCGGTGGCGGTGGCTATACGGCAGCCGTATTAATTTGGACGTATATATGTGAATACAAAAAGGCCTGTGTCCAGATAATTACCAGAAAAAACAGATCTGGGCTATGGTGGGATGCTTATATATGGAGGCAGGTTTGAGCGTTAGTACGTCTCCATACTTGCGGCTTTAGGTTTCTGTAGATCAAAACTCATTGCTGTGCTTCATGTTCCATTCAAAAAGTATGTATAAATACTCTATTCTAAAAAGTATGTACAAATACTCCATTCTAAAAAGTACGTGTGCATCCGGAATCCATGGTAATTTTTCACATTATGTTAGTCCTGTAGATACTTATTTCATAAATTATCATCCGGGACGTATGGCATTTTTTGTATAATAATATACTACTCGGTTTCCTTCAACATGTATGTGTGCATACTCTTCTTGCTAAATACGTATAATATGTATGTCTGCAAACTCCTCTTACCCGTGTATGTAGACATACTCCCACTGAACACGTATGCATACTCCCACAAACCGTGTATGTACACATACTCCTTGCATGCAAAATTTCAAAAACCAGCACAACTTTGAAAAGCGGTAACCAACAGATAAGCCAGCCAACCGAAAATAATGGTTTACACACGAATGAGAAATTATTTATTAATTAATTAACTAAATCACATAGATTAGTTAGCTCCTTAATGGATCTCCCGTACGTGGTTTAGATGAGGGAGTAACTACTTGGAGTAACTACTTTTAGGGAGTATAAATTTTTTTCCATATATATATATATATATATATATATATATATATGACGAGGCTAAAATGCACCTGGGTGCATTCTGTGAAGCGAGTGCATCCGACACATGAGCGTGAGCCGCGAGACGCGTGGTGCGCGGTGAGCCGCGAGCGCGAGGTGAGTCCACGCTCCTGCATGCAAAACTAAATGGAAACAACCAACTACGTGATGCCACCTAACAGTTCAACCCACCCATCAGAAAACATGCATGTAGGAAATCTTTTGTTGATTTTAAATGAAAAATGCGATATTTTCTAAACCATATATCCGATTTTAGTTCTGTTTGAAGTAAGTTGTTGAAAAAAATATGCTTAACAAAACGAGATCCATGAAGGCTGTATTTGATGAAGTTTTTTTTTCAAATACGTAATTACAATATGTTGTACTATAAGTTGCAAGCACTTCTACAACACAATTGCAACTTGGCTGTAGCGTATTTAGCACTGGTTGCGATGAAGGTTGTATTTGATGAAGTTTTTTTTCAAATACGTAATTGCAATATGTTGTACTATAAGTTTTTTTTTCAAATACATAATTGTAATATGTTGTACTATGAGTTACAAGCACTTTTACAACATAATTGCATTTTGGTTGTAGCGTATTTAGTACTGGTTGCAACTAATTATAATCTAGTAGTTGCAACTAGGTGGTAGACAGAGTTGCAATCGGTAGTATATTAACATGCAACTCGTTTAAAGGATAAAAAATATATCTATATTGGATCTAGTTTTACTCAGAATATTTTTTTAGTCGGATGCAACAAACGGTTTGTCACTCGGGGTTACGGTTTAGGAGAAAATTTGTTTCAAAGATTCAAACCAACAAAAAATTCCATACATGCATGTATTCGCTTGGGCGCGCTGGTTGCTCTAAGTTGGTGCGCCCGCCGGCCTGGGTGCATTCTATATACATGATGTACCCAGGTGTATTATAGCAAAACAGTATATATACACACACTAGGTAGCGTGTCCGTACGTTGATACTGAACAACTAAATCTTTTATACTAAAAACACACGGATCGCACGATAAGATAACAATACTGTTAAATTAAATATCGACGTTAAAGTGACATTTAATTCAAAAAGCAAAGTTCGTGAAATTAACAGAGTCATAGAGAGCGCAGCGTCGTAGGCTCACAAACTCTACTGTATAGACTTTTTCATGATATGTCTAAGATAATATTTTATATCGGTAGAAAAAATTCTCTGATATCTATTTCTTTCATGCGCCAATAAATCCATGAATAAGTTTCGCTGCATCTCCATATAATCCTGCACACACAGGTTCGAGTATATATGTAAATATCAGTGCCTGTTACATGGATAATACTGCGTGTCTTAAAAAATCTCTCATAAATTTTTAAAACAAAGTATGTTATACTCACCGTATAAATATGTGTGGCTTTAGGACTATTCCACATAGACATATATTGTAGAATAAGGTATCCACTTAAATGTCTGTTCCAAGATATTGAATTAGGTGTTGTAATTCTAAATTTCGACACATTTTTCAGGTCAAGGCAACCAATGGTGACACTTTTCTTAGTGATGCATAATTTTATGGTGCATCTCTTAACTATCTGAGTAAGAACAAGTTAGCACTGCAAAGGCTCAGAAAAGCTGCTGAGAAGGCCAATGTTGAATTTTTCTCTACTATGCATACTAAAACCTATGTCCCCGTTTATCATCGTCGATGCTTTTGATGCAAAGCAATTAAACATTACCATGATCAGATATAAGTTTGAGTCTCTTGTGAGCAATCTCATAGAGGGACTCTCATCCTTTATGTGATATGCCTCAAGGATATTGGTAGGATGATGGACCCATGTTGGAATGTCGCACCAAAAAGTATCCACGTTTTTTCCACGATTTATTTCCCATGAATACATACGGGTACTATGATAACACTAACTACACCAAATGAAAGATTAGAGAGAATTTGCATTGCCTCCAGAAGGATTTATTTATTAAGTTCTTTGAACTCTACAGGTAGTTTTGAAATATCTGTTTGCATATCTTACTTTGTATCCTAATTCAAAATTTTATAGTTTAATTAGAATATGGGAAAATGATTCAAAATGAATAGATCCAAGGGCAATTTCAGCAAGAAACAACAAGCAATGACGATGGAACACGTTAGTGTGAAACCAAATAAAAGGAGGAAAAATATGTCCCTTTTGCAAATGCAAAGAGGGAAAGTAATTAAATGTTGGCAGATTTGATAAGGTTCTAAGAAATGTAAAGAGGTTCCTTTTGTCTTAATTCTCTTTCTTTCTGTGTTAATTCTCTTTCATTTTACTCGTTGCCATGTATGCTGGTGCATGCAAACATGCAATGTGTATGTATATGAATAGCACAATAATTTTCTACTTCCTATTTTGTCGTGATTTCTCTATCACATGACAGCAATATTCAATCAAGGAGAATCGCACAAAAGGACGCAGCATGCGGGAGATGTCGTGGGATCGTAGGCATAGGCAGACGACGAATAAAAAAAAATATCCACACTTTGTTCTTTTTAGTTGTAAAAGATATATATAGTACATGCTCTCTGCTCTCCAGTTTAGCGCCGAAGAGTGGCACCGGAGGAAAATAAAATAAGGGTATTTAAGTTTTTTCTTAGCTTAGTTTGACATTATTACCATCCAATATGCATGGAATGGTTTGAAGGGAAAAAAAAATTCAACCAATAGCACGTACGACTGTTCAAAATTGTTAATGACTTATAGATAATTATAAACTTTTATAACGCCGCACAGTTAAAAGCCTACTGAGGCCCAGCCCATGAGACCTGACATCAGGCCTATCCACTGCTCACCCCTCCCCTCCCCTCCCCGCACCCCGGCACGGGATACGCGCACGAGCGCGCGGCGCTCCGCCTGCTCGCCGCTCTGCCCGCGCCGCCTCTCGGGTACTCCTTCCCCTGCTCGTCGGTCGCGCCGTCGTACTCCCTTCCCCTGCTCCCGTCCACCGCACGCGGCCACGCACCAGCACTCCAGCAGACCGGCAGCCCCGCTGCCCCGCGCGCCCACGCCGCCATAGCAGGCCAGCACCTCCGCCTCTGCTCTGCCCCTCTCCCCCCATGGCTTCGCGTCCCCCGGCAGTAAGCGCTCAGCTGTGCTCGGCGTAGACGGCACCCACTCCGACGGCGGGGTGAGCAGAAAGAACAAAGAAGCCCCCCGCCTGTTTCCTCCGTCTATATACTACGGCTCCAAATTGCCTGAAGCGGATTTCGCTGGGAGCGGATTCGGCCCGCTTCTTGTACAGCCTCAATTTCAATCTCGCTCCTCCTCCAACGGCCCACGCCCAAACCTCCTCCACCCCGTCCAAAACCCCCACCTCCGCAGCCATGCTTGGCCGCCTCTTCCTCCACCACGCCCGCCGGCGCCTCCACTCCTCTGCCACCGCCTCCTCCGTTCCCCTCTCCACCCCAACCTTCGCCATTTTTGGCGCCAACACCGGCGTCGGCAAGACCCTCGTCTCCGCGGGCCTCGCCGCCGCGCTCCTCTGCTCCTCGTCCCCTTCCGTCTCGTCCGTCGCCTACCTCAAGCCGCTTCAGACTGGCTACCCCGTTGACTCCGACGCGCGCTTCGTCTTCCGCAGGGCCCCCGCGCTGCTCCGCGCCTCCGCTTCCCCCCGAGCCACCCGCCTCGTCGCCTCATGCCGCACCCTCTTCCCGTCACCCGCCGTAGAGGCCAAGGCGGCGGAACCCCTCCACGAGATCCAGGAGAAGTTGGTGGTAACCTACGGAGCGGGTGCCGCGGAGCAGACGAAGGTGCTCGCGTGCTGCACGGCGTACGCGTGGCGGGAGCCGGTGTCGCCGCACCTGGCAGCAGAGAGGGAAGGAATGACGGCAGGGGATGATGAGGTCAAGGGGTGCGTCGCACAGTGGCTGCTGGAGGAAGGCGTGGGGGAGGGTGGAGAGGTGTGGAAGGTGCTGGAAACTGCTGGTGGCGTTGCCAGCCCCGGTGCCTCCGGTACTCTGCAGTGCGACCTCTACCGGTGCGCGTGCCTTTCACTCCTTGCAGCTTGGCTATTGATTTCATACACATGCCTTATTTCTTTGCTTGATTTTATTGAATTTGGATATGATGTGTCTAGGACAGAATGAACAAAATGACATTTGGGTTTTGTTTGTTGCCTGTGGTGGTTGTGCTTGTGCATTGCAATTCAGCATCGTGATAATTGATCTGATGTCCATGCATGTTGCATTGCATATACTCCATCTGAAATATAGTTCAATGGAAGCATAATTTAGTAGACTTTTATATGGAAATCGTAGTATAAATGGTATTCCGTACAGCCATATCAATTTTTAGAAGAAAAAAAAGGAAGTTTATTCCGGTCTCTGCAAGAGTTTTGCACACAACCAATTCTTATTACAGTTCCAGCCTCTTGCTGTTCTTTTAGCTCTCAAAAAGCGAAACCAAACAAAGGGATGATGGACTAAACGCTAAGCCTTTTCAATGACGACCATCAATGCTTGGTGAATATTTCCATAGGACCATAGCCACAGTCTATCATGTGACATGCCCACTTCAAAATAGGCCTGTTGCTCTTCTTCTGCAGGGTGTTCCACTGGTAATTGGAAATAATAGTGAAGGTTTTTTCCAACATTGTAAAACCGAATTTCATTACCAAAGCGATGGAATTACAAAGTTTGCAAGTTCGCAGACATAACTTGCTGCCAACAACTTCCCCACGCCCATGCCTCTGACCACCGAGGGATCAGCCGGCACTGGCCCTACCGAACACATCAAGCAAGACAACAGAACAAACAAGGTTCGCCAGCAAATACCAACCCAAGTACGGCTACTTAAACTTTTTCTGATACAGGCCAGGGGCACTGCCATCAGCATGCAGGCTGGAAAATAGGACAACTACAGAAGACGATCGCCCAGCGCCATGAATGATGAGTTGCCAGTCATCTTGGTCGTCTTCCTCCGTGACTTTCTTGTGGAAGTAGAGCGATGTCGCCTTCAGGCTCTCCGCTCCTTGCTTCATTTGCCTTTCCTTGTCTGGCTTCTGCAAGCCTGCCCAATAATAAAAAAAGGAGCACATCATACAGATAATCTCAGTAGGAGATTTGATTCTTTTGTCCTCAAAACAAACAGCATTTCTTGTGCACCATATTGCCCAACAAAGAGCCGCCAGCCCCATTGCATATACAGGTTTACTATTCGGTAAGCTAAGCTTGATCCAAACCCAAAACTGATCAATACTACAAGGTCTGCAACTGACTCCAAGGGCACATGCAATCAGACTCCAAATGTATTTCGCCGTCGTGCATCCAGAAAAGAGATGTTCCACTGATTCCTTTTCTGTACAAAAAGGCACAGATTTGACGTCCTTTACAATTTCTTTTTGTGAGGTTATCTTTAGTAAGGATAGCGTTTTGAAGCAGAAGCCTCATAAAGATTTTGTGCGTGCTCGCTGCAGCTTTTCCTGGCTGTGGCTGCAGCTTCTTCAGTTCATGCTACAGTAAATCAAAGTTATAGAGCTTCAGCCACAGCAAGTGCAGCCGAACACTACCAAATTTTAGGGGGATTTTGGCTTGCCAAATATGTTTAAAGTTTTGTCCCTGATCCTTTCAACATAAATGTTTATACACTGATTTAACAAGAAAGTTCTGGATTTTTCCCAATCCCATTTTGCCTTATTCTTCTCATTATTCGCATTGCATCTATATAGGATGTCATGCAATCTCCTAAAATGGTTCTGCGGATCCTCCGAAAGCCATCTCCTAAAAGTTAGCCACCAATTTCTCATTTTTATAGTTGCAACTGAGCCAGATTGCTCTTCATTGATCTCATATAACCTTGGAAACTTGTCCTTAAGGGACACCTTCCCACACCACTTATCATGCTAGAAGCTTGTGTTTTCCCATTAACCGCAAGCATGATTCTCCCTCTTAAGTAGATATGTTTTACTTTAAGCAAATCATTCCACATGGGAGAATTGTTATTGCTTTTTTTAAAGCTTGGAGATACCACCAGATTTCATTTATTTCCTTTGAACAATATCATGCCAAATACTGCTACCATTTTCCACCTTATGCCACCACTTACAAAGCAAACTAATGTTCATTTTTCTCAGATCTTTGGTGCCCAATCCTCCCTTTTCTTTGGGATTCGTTACCTTTACCCATTTGACTAGGTGATATTTCTTTTTCAGCCTTCCTCCTTGCCAAAAAACTTTTTATAGTAGTGTCCATCTTTTTTATGGTAGAGATACTAGACATGGTGTACAAAGGCATGCTACTTAGGCTGGAGCTAATAAGAATCATCCCCCAAAAAAAAAAAAAAAAAGAAAGAAAGAAAATGCTAGAGAGATCCCCTGCCATCCATGTAGCTACTTTACCATCTTTTTCTCAATTGGAAGGCAGTCAACAATATGTAAACTGGTTCCAGAGACAGGGACACCAAGGTACTTGGTAGCCCATTTACCAATTGCACAGTTAAACATATTAGAGAAGTCAACCATTTTGTTCATGTCTTGGCTAACCAGAATCACCTCACTTTTTGAAAAGTTATAATATTCAACCCAGATATGGCTTCATTACATGTATAAGAGCAGGTTCAAATGAGCAGCCTTTTCTTTGTCACCTTGAATGCAAAATGCAAAGAATGGTGTCATCAGCATATTGCAAAATGGCCACCCCATTATTAATATATTCAGGGACTAACCCTTTGATCAGATTATTGGTTTGTGTGAGGTTTGCCATCTTGGCTAAAGTGTCTACAGCGATTTTATATAAAAAGGGGATAAGAGATCCCCTTGTCTAACTCATTCCCAGTTTTAAAATAAGCCCCCTGGATGTTGTTGATTTTGATGCTAAGGGTCCCATAGGTCAGGATCAGCTGTATCCATTCACACCATTTTTTTATTAAGACGTCTCTGCCTGAGACATTCAAGCAACTGTTCTGAAGTTTACTAAGCTGTATTTTGAATATTTTCAAAGAGGTAATACAAGATTCTACAGTGTTTTCAAATAAGCCTAAAATTTAGCTAAATTCAAACATCTCGAGTTGTATGATGCAACTTGACTCCCTAAAAATTGCTGCCAGGAATCCCTATATCTCATTCTTTGTTTCCCTCCCCATGTTGTCAGTTGTCACTGAGATCGCCCGAAGGACATAAAAATTATTTGTGTCTATGCTCTGGCCTTCTCTTGCTTCCACAGATTCTGATTTGTCTTTAGGTGAGGATAAACAAATGACTGTTCAATTGTTCTTGCACTGGAGCAATTCCATGTTATCGCAGCTCAGTAAACAATTACATACTCCAGTTTCTGGTTCTGGATATTATCTGGCTAGCTTACTATTGGCAATTAATGATTCCTGAATTGTAGTTTTTGAGCTTGTGAATTCGTCGAATAAAGCTTGTGATGTTCTGCGTATTATTCTCTTTATTTCTTTCCTTTCTTTTGAAGGGCGGGCCTGGTGCAAGCGGTAGAGTCTTACCGCCTGTGACCGGAAGGTCCCGGGTTCAAGTCGCGGTCTCCTCGCATTGCACAGGCGAGGGTAAGGCTTGCCACTGACACCCTTCCCCAGACCCCGCACAGAGCGGGAGCTCTCTGCACTGGGTACGCCCTTTTTATTTCTTTCCTTTCTTTTACAGTTTAAGTTTTGCATGTAAAATAACTGCTAGGTCAAGTGATGGATTAAAATTCAAAATGCCTTAACCTCTTAAATCACCTTCTGATGTTAACTGTTAGCTTGAAGCCTTGAACATTTTAAACGTCTATTTGTTGAGTTGATCTTTTATCTGGCTGTTATTGATTTGTTTCAACTCTTGACAGGCCTTTTAGGTTACCTGCTATTCTTGTTGGAGATGGCCGTCTTGGTGGTATTTCATCCACTTTGTCTGCGTATGAAACTTTGTTGCTTAGAGGGTATGATGTGAGCGCAGTTATTTTGGAAGATCGTGAGTTATCAAATGACAAATTCTTGCTTTCTTACTTGAGAAACAGGTTTCTATTCATGACCATCCGTTTAATTCTTTTATTTTATTAAATGAATAGTTCTGCTGCTCTGCTTTTGTTTATGATAGCTTTAAACTCTATTGATTTTGTTGTTTAGGGTACATGTGCTTACCTTGCCACAAGTTCCTGAAGATCCTTCAGATGACCTGACTGATTGGTTTTCTGAGTCATCCTCAGCTTTTAATTTTCTTAAAGATGCCCTGCAATCATTTCATTCCAGAAGAATAGAGAGGTTAAACAGCATGCAAAGAAAATCGAAGGATTTATTGTGGTGGCCTTTTACTCAGCACAATCTTGTTCCTCAAGATTCTGTTACAGTAATTGATTCGCGTTGTGGTGAGAATTTTTCTGTGTACAAGGTTTGTCCACTTTCTAGTTCTGCTCTTCTCTCTTCATTATTTCTTCAAAAGAAATTTGTAATGAAGTTCTGATTGTGCAACAAGGTTGGCTGATCAAGTGATCATTATATCAATTCTCTAAATCTTTGATGTAGATTAAAGACAAAATGCTCGTCCCTCAATTTGATGCATGCGCAAGTTGGTGGACTCAAGGGCCTGATTCTAACTTGCAGGTTTTCTCCTCACATCTCTGGCATATGTGATTTATTTTGCTACAAGAACTCCCTTTTACACTTTTTATTGGTAAAGTTGTGTATTTTAACTTTTGACAAGCAATTTTTGTAGCCTAAACTTGTATACTGGAACTTTTGACAGGCAATTTTTGTAGCCTAAAGCCCTAAACTTGTCTTTACTCATTAGATTGAACTTGCAAGAGATATGGGTTATGCTGCTGCAAGATATGGTCATGTGATGTTTCCAGAGAATGTTCATGAGCCTGCTCTTCGTTCTGCCGAAGTTTTACTTGGAGGAGTTGGTAAAGGTTTGTCAATTTAGCTTTTCTTTCACTCAGCATTGGCTCAATTCAAACTCTATGGTACTCTATAATGAATTTGATGTCATATTAATATGAAAATCGACTTGGCGCCTGAATTCTGTCTCACCTTCCAACTCTTCCTTTTCTTGGATATATCTAGAGCTTGTGTGCCTGATGATTTGTTATGTTTACCTCAAGAAATGAGGTGATTATAAGGATGTGTATGTGAAATGAGACATGCTTTTATGGGTCATATCAATAGTTTAACCTTGTAAAATATGGTTATTTCTTCCTTTATTTCAATATTTGTGTTATGGTTTTGTTTTCTTATTTATTTCTTGCAACTCTATCCACGTGGGTGATAGCATTATTTCTTTTCGTGTGCCTGTCATATTTGTATTGGCTTATTTGTGTCACAACTTCCCCTTTTTTCTCAGGTTGGGCTTCTCGAGTCTATTATTCAGACAATGGATCCACTGCGATTGAAATTGCTCTGAAGATGGCATTTCGTAAATTTTGTCTTGATCATGGAATTATGTCTGGCAGTGAAAATAGTACAAGAAATGAAAGAAACATTCAGTTGAAGGTATGTTATGGCCATACTAAACATCCTTGTCTTCCTTACTTAATTATTGACTGAACTACTAAACAGTTCACAGTAAGAGAATGATGTTTTTTGTTTATTCTTCACGACCGTCAACCTCAGTTGATCACCATAACCCTGTGTTTATTTCAGTAATTATATTATATTTCATATATGTTTTAGTATTTACAGGGGACAAATTAATATAAATGTTGTATAAATAACTGTAAATGCCCATTTTGTGCATCCTAATATATTCTTAACAATTGATTCCTCTCTAGGTACTTGCTCTAAATGGTTCCTATCATGGTGATACTCTGGGTGCTATGGAAGCTCAAGCTCCATCAGCTTATACATCTTTTCTTCAGCAACCATGGTAATGAATTTGAGCACTGTAGTTACTATACTGAATGTTTTTAGACTTCTCTACTCTTCTTGAATTCGCTTTCGGAACTGTGCCCTTTTCTGTCACTTCACTATGCTGATTGTCTTGGTGTTTATACTCTTCAGTGGTTCTCTGTGCCAACTGTGGTCTTTTCTGTACCAGCCTTTGATAGCCTAATAGGATTTTTCTTTTCTAGTTTTTCTTGAGGGAATTTAGTAAGACTCGGCCACACTCCTTTTTTTTACAACCTCCTACCTTGCTGTTGGTTATCGTATCAGTAAGTAAAGCTGAGATCAATTACATGAGGTTTCTTTTGTAGGTATTCAGGTCGGGGACTTTTTCTAGATCCTCCAACTGTGTATATTAAAAGTGAAGGTCTACAATATTTCTTTGCCCCAATCAATGCAGCATGATCCGCAGACATATGGTGATACATGTCAGTTTCTTGTGTTTGACACATCAGATCTAATTCCTTATGGGTGTTTATTTAATTTGTTCTTTGATTCAAAATGCAGGCTTTTCTTCACAAGCTGAAGTCTTTTGCAAGACCAGGGACAAAACGTTTGCTGCTGATTTGTATTTGTCCTATATAAAACAGAAACTATCAGAATTTTCTCTATCAAGTAGCTCTGAACATCTTGCAGCACTAATTATAGAACCAGGTAAATAAAGTTTCACTCTTTGAGCTTCTTGGGAATATTTCCATTTTTTTGCTCTTTAGCCTTTAGTATGTCTACTATCATTTCATACTAACAGCTGACAAAATCTCAGTACTTTTCCATGCCATTTACTGCTTCAACCTCATTAACCCATATTTGTGTAGTAATACAAGGTGCAGGTGGAATGCTCATGATAGATCCTCTTTTCCAGCGAGTACTTGTCAGTGAGTGTAGAAGTCGAAAAATACCTGTCATATTTGATGAGGTATTTACAGGATTCTGGCGTCTTGGTGTGGAGGTAATACTTGACAATACCTTTTCAGAGGATAAATAGATATTTTGTTTGTATTTCATAATCTTGGTAACTTCTCTTTCAGTCTGCTTCAGAGTTACTTGGTTGTTTACCTGATATCGCCTGCTACGCGAAATTGATGACTGGGGGAATTGTACCATTAGCTGCAACCTTAGCAACAGAGGAAGTTTTTGAATCCTTCGAAGGTGACTCTAAGGTAATCATCTTGAATGTAAATACATAATTGGTCTCAACCATCTTGAAGCATGAATGCATGATGTTATGTCAAAAGTATCACAATGAATGCATCATTACAGTTTAGCACTGATTCTATTTTTTACCTGGTCCAGCTCACGGCACTCTTACATGGCCATTCCTACACTGCTCATGCCATGGGCTGTACTGCAGCATTAAAAGCTATGCAGTGGTACCGGGATCCATCCACCAATTCGAACCTTGATACTGACCACATGAAGCTCAAGGAGGTAATGAAATATGCTGTTTGAGTAGGTAGAACTGGTTATTTAAAGTACTCCCTCCATAATCTTTTCTTAGGCGTATGCAGATTTTACGTTTTTGAAGTTATGTAAGTCATGGAGGACACACCGAGGCATCCTCCGATAGATTCAAAGCAGCATCCAACCAAGCGTCCGGCAGTTACTGCTGTGCTCCAAATTCCAAACATTGTTTTGCATGCATGCATCCCATCAGGTGCTTGCCTTTGGCTTTCATCAGGCTATGAAGCGTTGCATGTATGCATGCATATACATGCAGTTGGCAGAACCAATCTGCGGCAACGACGTGGCCGCACCGAGTTCAGTGCTTCATTAATCTTTCACCACGTATCTGAAAACCCGTGGATACGCCTTAGAAAAGATTATGGAGGGAGTAACTCACATGAATTTTAGAATAGCTCAAACTAAGATACACTAAAACTTTGGTCTGTGATACTCCCTTTGAGTGTCCTTACCTCTTTGATATATGATACTAGTTGAATTCCCCACGCGTTGCTGCAGGAATTTAAGAATCATATAAATGGATATTGAGTGGACGAAGCATAGTAATATCATATTATTTCATTAGGAGGATGGAGTATGATAGGAATTTTAAGGGGTAAATATGAAAATAAAAGCAATTGGTTGGGAACGGTAGTAATATATAGGTAGTAGTTTCCTGAAAATCCGCACCTGATTGGCATCATACATGAAAAAAAAGGGCAGACCTAGTGCCGGAGGCTCCCACATGAATGGGGTCTGGGGAAGGGATAAACCGAGACAAGCCTTTCCCCCGCAAAATCTGCGGAGAGGCTGCTTCGAACACACGACCTGATGACTCAGTGAGAGCTCTCACCACTGCACCAGGCCTGCCCTTCTATTGTCATCATACATGGTGTGGGTTTAATCCTCCTTGTCACGACTAATGAACTTATAATATGCAAAAAAAAAAGAAATAAATGAAATGTACGGACTTGAGAAAGTTAGTACTGCAAATTACTTGTGGCATGAGCAGAGAAGACAACATTCAGACTGTCTATGGCCTCCCAAAAAATGAAAGTTAAAACCTAAAAAAAATGTTGTGCTGCAGAGCTGAAGAAACAACTGCCAAGAGAGTAGTGTGTAGCTTCTTAGTTGTACGTCCAATTGTGTTGTAGTCATTTTTCATCTTGCTACTGATCGTATGTCCTTATATATCGTGCGGACCAACTGAAAGAGGAAAAGACAAATGAAACTAAAAACATACTATATGAATTGGATTTTCCTGCTGACAATTCAGAGATCTCTAGGCAAAAAAGGAGATGCTTGAAAAATCAATCCTAGCAACTCTTGATGACTTACCAACAAAACTAATCAGCACTCATACAAATCGTGCAAATCCAATATTGAAGGATGCTCCATAGTTTCAACTCCTAAAGAACTGTCATGACGATGGATATAGGAGAAATCTAGGCTACTAGGATTAGGAAGTTACTAACTGGAACAATGTGGTGGCGCTCATATCTGTAGGCGTTGGATGTCTGGCACATGGGTACCGGGGGGTCCCTGGGCTCCAACTGGTTGTTCCTTTGGTCCATGGTCTATTCATATATATCTCCAAGGTAGTAGCTATGCGGGTTTGTATTGCAAAAGCCAAATGGTTGCCACAATCTGTAGAACGCAACAATTAAATAGTGGAGAAGCTAAATGGCTGGAGATGAAGAGATGGGAGTTGGAGGGGCACCATTACTGGATGGAAGTGTACGGACACATGCATGTGATCTGTTGATCACTTCAATTGTCCTTTCTTCTCTCTTGAACGCTAGATGACCTCTCAGCTGAACGCTGGATGACCTCTCAGCTGCCTCACTTAAATTACCCTTTCTTCTTTTTTGAGCGCTGGGTGACCTCTCGGCTGCCTTCACTGGAGGAAACGCTGCAGAGGGGAGTATGGGGGTGGAGGTGGATGCGTGGGCCAGGAGGGAAATGATGACGTGGAGCGCTGTGAAATGAGATAAATTGGCTAGTGGGGTTTTGCTTTATAAGAGTATAGGATATAGGATACTGCCGTTACATAAGTGCGCATATTTCTTTTTTTGAAGCCATGGAGTTCTTAAAGAACACTTGTATCTGAATCGTATTTATTATACAAGTATAATATCATTTGGAGAATAGGAGCATGTCCTTTCTCTTAACATTATATCTTGCCAATTCGTGCATGTAATTATGCCCTTCAAAAGATAACTGATATGGTTTACTCTCAATTTGCAGTTGTGGGATGGCACACTTGTTAAGCAGTTATCGTCACTACCGAATGTGAAAAGAGTGGTCTCATTAGGAACTATGTGTGCAATTGAGCTCAAGGCTGAGGGATCTGATGCTGGGTATGTCACATATGAATGAGTCATTATATTTTTTTAAGCTTCACTGACGAATTTTAGTATTTTTCTTGGCATAAAAAACTTTTAAACGAGGATCCAATGATGACTAGTTAGTAGTTTGGCATCTTTTGCTGCACAGAGTTTTGTTATGGTCCCATGGAGTTTAGTTTGCTCGAGAATACTTTCTTGGTATAAAGAATCTGATTATATTGAAACTGTTTTTGTGTTCCTAGTATCAAACGGTTGAGTGAGATGTGGTGGGGGCGGGGGGTGGGGTGGTGCTCCTAAAGTGTGGCCACTCCAAGCCGCCAAAGTTAGCCCATGCCAGTGTTGGGAGTTACAGGCACTTAGGAACCATCTCCAACAGCGGATACCTCCCTTCTCCTGTTTAGGATACAAACTGATGAGACCAGATGTCTAGGTCGTTACAAGGCGTTGAGATTATTCACCTGACACAACAAACGTTGCATACCAGAATACTTGTTACGCACCTCTCATATGCGCCAGAGGAGGGTCAGTAGGATGGAGTGAACAGGTCAGGTGGAGATGCAGTAGTCCAGAGCGTCTTCAGCGTCCATTTGAATGTAAATCTTGCAGTCCTGTACTCCTACTATTGCACACCACAATGTTGTGGTCCCAATATGAAAAGTATAGCTGATTAGCTGAACCTATAGTAATATGAAATTGCTTCTATTTTTTTTCTGCGAATACGCAGGAGAGCTGCGTATCATTATAATATTGATTGACCTGGATTGTAATGACAGCTATCATATATAGCCAGCTGTCTGCCTAATGGTCCATCTCATATTCGAAACAAGACAAGTAGTGAAGCCTCAGAACATAACTAACTGAACATTACAGATAAGGAAGTCAAACCTGATCTTCTGTATAGGCCAACCCTACTGGTTTCTGAGCCGCAGCCTCCACCTTAGCAGCTTGATTCTTCCTAATTTGGTACTCAATGCCACATATAACAGATTCATATACACAATTGTGCTAGAACCACTGCAAACAATGATGGATCTGGTCATTCCTTTGGTTGTGTAGTAACACAAACCACAGTATTTTCTGCTGTACCCATGAGTTCATTTGACTCTTGCTTGTTTTCCTCGTGGTGCATTGTGGCTTAATTTGGTGAATAGTTCTTACACTTCCAGATTGGGCTAACTTTTGTGCTTGATTGTGATAATTTAAGTATAATGGTGGAATGTTATTTTTTTAAAGTATGCTGGAATGTTATTTACCACTGTGCTATGAGTTTCATGCTGTTCCCTCTATAGGTACGCTTCACTCTACGCAAGTTCCTTGGTGCAACAGCTCCGCAAAGAGGATGATATTTATATTAGGCCCCTGGGTAACGTGATATACCTCATGTGTGGTCCATGCACACCCCAAGATAGCTGCACTCGACAACTCCTCAAAGTACACCGCAGGCTTTGTGAGCTCAATTGACTCGATCGGCTGGGAATATGATTGAGAGCAGACTTTCGGAGTTTTGTCTTGTGACAACTTAAGTTTCAGGCCATCAGTTAACCATCAGGTGATGTTTGGTTCCACAAATGGCAATGGCAAAGCAAAGGGAATGAATACCAGCGGCAGTGTGAAGGGAAGCTTTGTTTGGTTCAGTATCATTCCATGGAAGCTGCCGTTCCTAAACTCGATGGTACGATGGATTAGTTTTAGGGCGTTAGTGATGATAAAATAATAACTGAATGCTTTGCTGCCGTTACATTGTTGGTACTCAGTTTTGTCTCCGTTCATCGATGTATTTTTAGGTGTAGTGCCAAAGGGTTTGCGACGTTTTTTTCAACACAAAAAGTTCCGAGTTATGTTGTACATTTAAAAAAAGGAAATAAATTATTTAAATAAATATTTTTTAATAAAAAGTATATATTCACGCCAAGTGGTTCTCGAACCCACAGTCGCCTGATTAGAAGTCAGACGCCTTATCCATTAGGCCATGGGCGCTTTTTGAATTTTTGTTCTCCTGCTAATTATGTACTCCCTTCATTCTAAATTATATGTCGCTTTAGCTTTTTATTTGGATAGATAGTAAAATGGATAAACCAAAAAAGTTAACTCGACTTATAATTTGGAACGGAGGGAGTAGGGTAAACATTAGTAGACACAGACTTTGCCCTCACCCCTATGAATAACACCATTAAGGTAGTGTTTGGTTTGACATTTCGTGATTATGGAGGGTTAAGAAATCTGGTAGCACACGTTTGTTCGGTGCCGTCAGCTGTCAGCAATCAGCTAGGTTGCAATTGGATACCAGCCTTTACAGTGCAATCGGTAATCAGCCAGATTGAGAGGCTCTCCGGAGCACAGTCAGATCATTGTAATTGTAATTCTGTACAATTTTTGTATCTGATGTCGTTACATTAGGAAACAAAACAAACGATCATAATGATTGACCCGACCTTTCCCGCCACCTTCCTATTTGATCGGCCTTCTCTGGGAGGTGTTTCTCCCTTCATTTACTAGCTGTAAAGTGCTTGGTTTGTTTTGTTGCAGATGTACAGAGCCAGCCAATTTAGCTGAGGTTGTACCGTGCCTGTCTGGGCGATCTCTTCTATTTAATATAGCTGGCAGCTCTCATGCTGGTTCATTTCAAAAAAGATTGAGCCCACCTTTATACAGTGTAACCTGATTTAGTTACCATTTTGCATTACCACTGGTTGAAGCAAACACCATGTAAATCCTAGAATAAATCTAAAAAAAAGACCATGCTAAATCAAGTGAAGGATTTCAACGTGGGCGAACAGGTTTCACCATAGAAAATCTAAACAGCCGAGCTATACTCCGCTCGCCACTGTATGCTATGTTGAATAATAGAATGAAAAATATATCAAAATGTATTATATTTTAATCTACAATGATGAAAATTGCATCTGAGAGGAAAATGAACATTATGAGGTGGACACATCACGGCACCATCACCACCATCAACTAGACCAGATACACTAAACACAGGCACCCCAAATATGGTGTACCTTCGCAAATCCAATATCCATATACATTCTATCAAGCCTCCCTGCCTCACCATTTAGCTAAATACATTATGCATCAAGAGATAAAACTCTCTGTGCCTCCGATAAAATTCTTCCTCCATTTGTCGACATCCGAACAAATCATAGAATAAAGTAGAACGATACACATGTTGTTTTTCTTTTTAATCACACCCCTTGTTGCTGCTGCTGAAGCTGTTTCCTTAGCTCCTTGCGCAATATCTTGCCCGATGGGGCCTTGGGGATCTTGTCGACGAAGGTCACTTCCCGGACCTTCTTGTAGTAGATCACCTGGAGCAGAAGGTCCCTCAGTCAAAAGGTTGGAAAAAAAAGAGAGGACAAACGCATGTATTTGTTTCTTTATTTATCTTGAATTCTATTGCTATTCCACTGCTAATGTTTAGATTCAGCATCAGAACGTGAACTCAAAAAGAAGCAAACATTTTCTAGCTCAAGAAAATAACAGTACCTCCTTGGCCACAAATTGTTTCACGTCATCTTCGGTGAGCTCGCTCCCTTTGGCCTTGGCCACAAAGGAGACTGGGATTTCCCCGATTTCTGGCTCGACTTGTTTCCTGCAATGATCGTAGACACCATGCATCTCAATGACTGAATGAAATAGGTACCAAGCATCCATTGTTGCGCAAACCACCTAGCTAGTAAACAATATTGTATTACATGAGCAAACTCCAGAGTCCAGAGCCAATTTGCCAATGTTGGTTCTGGTTCAGCAAGCACTTATCACGCAAAGACGTGGAAAGCGATCACCAGCGCGCACTGGAACGAGTTTCAGGAGTCCGAACAGCCCCTTTGAATCTCATCAGTCCTCACCAGTGCATCAACGCATCATCAATTCCTGGACTCAAGAATAAACTAAGAGTCTGTTTGGATCCTACGACCAATAGTTAGCTACTAAAAATTAGCTAGAAACATGTTTGGATCCTCAAATAAGATCAGCTAATGTCTTACCTACCACCCAGATAACAATTAGTAGCTATTAGCTGATTTCTCTCAACAATTAGCTATTAGCTGATTTTTCCCAGCTAACACAGCTAATAGTTAGCTAGGTGGATACAAAGAGGGCATAAGAACCAAACAGCACAGCTCATATGCTTCGCCTTGTCCCGCTCCTAACAATCACCCAATCACACATGATTTCCAGCAATTGGGTTCACACTTCACAGATAACACACGCTGCAGCAGCACCAAGCCCATGCCACTTCCACCACCACCATTACATACAGCCCACCAACATGGAATCTGAAGCACAAGGAAATAAAGCATAAAACGAAGGCACAATTCCAACCTGACCAACTTACTAATGGCAATGAAACGCTGCAAATAAGAGAGGAAAAGCATCAGGTATTCGTTGAGATCTGAAAGGAAAGTCGTCTTAGACAGACGATACCATATCATTAGCTGACCATGGCATTGTTGCGATAACATTGTCCCATTTACAATACCAAGTTACCAACCGTTTCAGTGGCCACCTATCCACAAGAGCAGGAGTCTTCACCATTGTGTTTACAGCAAAATTGTGCATCCCAGAACAAAAGGGAAACACAACAATGGTCAAACTAAACTTCTCCATATTTTAAAGCTTGACTGAAACTATGGCACTAGTTACCATATCATGTAAGGCTAATTAGTAAGAGGATCTGGTTTTGAGAAGATGGTAGAAGTAACAATTGCGAGAGAGGTCAGATCCGAAGGTCTTCGATGTCTGACAACAGGGTTGCTCCACCAGCTGATCTTTCATCTGGGAGGCTAACCACCAACTGGCCACAAGCACCAGCTATGTCTTGACCCATCTGCTGGCGAACAGTGGTTCTGATGTGGTAGATGCCTTTTAGGACCTTTTGGAACTTCTTCACATTTTGGTCACTGCTTGTCTTGAAATTGCTTGATGACCCAATTGGATTGAATGGTATTAGATTGACAACCTGTTGGTAGTTTAGAGAACATATGGATCACTCCATTTCCATACACAAAGGTGAATGTACAAGTAATGCTACCTACATATGTCTTGACCATCACTTGGTATTAATAGGCTCAGTGTACAAAAATTACACTAGTAAGTTATTGCAAAAATTTTGAAACACATAAAAACAGGAGTGGGTGACAATTTCAGAAAGACCAATCAAAGATGTGAATAATAATCAATTCAAAACACCTAGAAGAAATTTGGGGTACCAGGATTGCTAAACAGAAATGTCAATTGTCAAAAGCAAACAAATAGGGAAAGATGGAAAAGTAAGACTGGTGGAGGCAATACAAAATGGATTGAATAATGAACATAAGAAGTTACGCAAAACTGCCTCGTTAGACATCTTGTAAAAAGAAGTGACTACAAAGGAACTAGAGCAAAGTAATAATGATAAAATGAAGTAATGTAATAGTGTCTCACCGCTTTGAACGTTTCAAGCAGTTTACCAAGCTGATGAGCATGCTCCTCCTGATCGTTAACTCCATCAAGCATAATGTACTCAATAAAGATGATCTGCTTGCTGTGATGAAACATATGAAAGTGTAATCAGAAATCAAATTTCCATGCTAACGTTTTGACACTGGTAAGAGATGCATTATTGTAATCTCACCTCTCATTTTGATAGGACTGCAGCACATTCATTAACTTTACTAAAGGAAAGGCACGTGCAGCAGGCATTATCTGACAGCGTATGTCTTGGTCAGGAGCATGCAATGACACAGCTAAATTCACCTTTGGAAGATCTGCATTGAATTTGTTGATTCCATGAATGATTCCGACCTGCAGTTGCAATGTAACGGGACGATTAACACTAGAATTTATTACAATTGCAGTAATTATTAAGAAAAATCAATCTATCAGCTTCTCTAATTCAAAAGTTCAATCTTAAAACAAACTTTTAGCAAAAAATACAGTGGCAGAACACACCATGGCTTCAAAGCTAATATGGAAAAAATCGGCTTGATAAATGAGCACACATATCAATAAAATTAACAGGCATAGAAAAGTTTTTACCACACAACATGATGGAAACAATGAATTCTATTGTAAACCTAGAAGCAGCAATAACGTAAGTGAAAAGAAAGGTTTGGCATCAGAACCACATATCTTATGTAATAACTGTATTTTAAAAAAAAAAACATGATAAATGTTAACGTTTAAATTCTACAAGTGCTAAAACAAAATATACTTGCTAGCAACAAGGTGGAATAGAACAGTTATCCAAAGAATATACAGCTGGCCAGCTACACAATTTATAAAGTTATATTTGCACAATTGAATAAACAGTTTTTGACGGATTCGCCATTGTGTGGTTTATCACAGCAGAAATTCATTAGGTCATTCAGAAGTGTACCAGCAGTCACTAAACAACATATAGTTTATAAGAATATTTCACTACTAACAAAATATAGTGCTTGAAGGGCGGGCCTGGTGCAAGCGGTAGAGTCTCACCGTGACTTTGTGACCGGGAAGGTCCCGGTCTCCTCACATTGCAGGTCTGTTCGAGGAGGCAAAGCACATTGCACAAAGAGGGTAAGACTTGCCACCGACACCCTTCCCTTGGACCCGCACAGAGGCGGGAGCTCTGCCAACAAACAAATATAGTGCTTCAACAAAAATCTCGAGAATGTGATTTCACATGCAAAGGTGATTATCCAAGTATGCTTACAGTAGATACAGTAATTCTCTTAGGTGAAAGCTGGAAAGGAGATCCTGTAAACACTCCGATTGCTTCAACCAAAGCATTATAGTTGTTCATCGGCTCCCCCATTCCCTGCATATAAATAACACCTCGCTAACCTCTGGAGGACACTAATACTGTTATAACAAACATCAAATAGAATTCATTTATCATGGTTCTTCTCAATAATGACATGACACCACCCAGTTCGAAGGATGTTCACATATGTAGATAATAGTTTACAATTTTAAAGTTAAACATGCACAAACATTTAGCGACCCATGATTTTTTAGCAATCAGCAAAGCAGTGTTTCTAATTTCTATATCAAAGAATCAGCAAAGCACATAATCTATAAGAGCCAGAAAACATGAACATGAAAGAATAAACCATGTTTACTATAATAATTTAGAAACTAACTCAAACAGCATACCACTAGTTTTTGAGACTGGGAAGCCCCTATTCTATTTATAGGTAAAAAGGGATAACTGTAATACCAGCAGGAATTTTTACAAGAACCATTGTCACCACTCACCAGCAAAAGGAAAGCAGATCAACATATTGCCAGCTCAATCCATAAATCAAGCAAACTAGCTAAGAAAATTCTGGCATTCATTCTATACATGTAAACTTTGCAAGGAATAATTTCCCATTTCTACAGTGGTAATACTTGCAAAATGAAGCATTGTTTGTCTGTAAGCAAATTGCCCCCAATGTAAAGTATATACAAATATCAAGGTAATAATGCTCAGTATCATCACAATGATCAAGTTAGGAAACAATCTAATGTGAGGGTGACATGTGATACTTGTTGGCAAAAGAATGGAGTAATGGATGTCGTTTTCCAATCTATGAATCTTACTGAGCTTATTTGTTCACAGAATCAATGACAAAACCAAGTAACAAGTTAAATCTGGTCAGCATAATCAAGATGAAAATAACGCTACAAAGGATCACAAAAGATGCATAATCATCGCATTCAAATGCCACAATTTTTCTTTCTTAGATAGAAATTTCAGGCAATCGCTACTACTGGAGTGAAAATTACCATGAAAACAACATTTCGGATCTGAGAATAGCGGGATGCATGGACCAGCTGCTCTACAATTTGTCCAGAAGACAGATTGCTTTTGAAGCCCATTGTTCCAGTAGCACAGAATCTGCAGCCCATCTTGCACCCAACCTGTTTAGTATTGTAGAAAGAAAGTCACCAAATAACAGTAAAGTAACAAGTTTACCAAGAATCATAACACGCTAATGAGAATTAAGTTATGAACAGGTCTTCTGGTAAAAGGTGTTAAACCATTAGAAACAAATTCTTCCAGACTTGAGCACCTGTGATGACACACAAAGGGTTGAGCGCACTCCACCAGGCCGAGGCTTTCCATCATACTTCCCCAGTCGTGTGTCATATCGCATGACCACTGCCTCTACAGACTCTCCATTCTACACCACGAATTTGAAGTCCAATAAGTTGTTCTTCAATGTTTAAAATAGAAAATCTGAAAAGAAAAAACTCTTACAACAAAAAAATGACAAATTTGTGGTTAAAAACTTCTTCAATGCACAGACATAAAATAATTAGATAAACAACAGCCAAGTCAAAAAAAAAAGGAGGCGGTCTGAAATAGAATTGTAGCTTGCAAGAGATGTTGTCCACCTGTAAGGAGTTCACTATGTGAAAAAAAGGGAGTAGAATTTAAATCGCAAAGTTACAGGCTATCCAATACAGAAGATGCTACCATAAGTCATATAACATATTATAAGGAGTGAAACCATTATATCTTGATCTATTCATTTTGAAGATGACTGAAAACTACAGATATAGAGCCAAAGGGCAAAGAAACTAAAGGATACAAAGTGTGAAATATAAAATCCAAACAAGGAGAATGAAATATCAAATATATATGGCTTAAGCTGTTCATTTTTGAAGATGACTCGAACCTCCTACTATCTAGCCAAATAGCAACAGAAAATAAATGCTCCTCCACAACATTTGGTAGAGTTAATGTTAGCAACAAGTCAAGCATTTAAGTTATACTTGTCTCTTTTTTTTTTTTTATTCACGGAAGGAGGAGGGGCAAAAGGCCCTGCTTGTTAGTTATACTTGTCTTTGCTATAAATATTTAATAATTGGATGGTTCAGGTGCTGCAGGTTGAATCTGTAGAAGTTAGAGTACAAGATAGTGCATATCTGTATCTTGGTGCTCCCTATTCGTATTGCAGCTCTATTACATCCAAGACAACAATGATGATGAATTTCTCTTCAAAAAGAAACATAAAACTACACAGATTAGGTATTTCAAGGTATGCTATTATCTTCCACAAACATTGGAAAACCACATAAAACAAGAAACAAAAGTACTGTTTTCTAATGCCTACTCTACCAGAGACAATCAGGGTGAATTCAATCCCTAAAATAGTAGGCTAATCAATTATGATTGTGTCAACCATTCCATTCCCAACGGAGTAATCAAACAAGCATATGTTTCATAAGCTCACATCACCAAGAGAAAATTTCTAATGTCCACGACAATGAACCAAATGCAAAAGTAGCTACCGAAATAACCGGGGAGACTACACCATATTCCCAATTTCGCATAATCCCCAAACACCAGTGGATTGCATGCTTTCGCACGCCACATGCCACATTTGTGAATGCGCAAATTACCTGCAGGGAGATGAGGAGCTTGGTCGTGGTGCGGTCCTTGGAGTCCGCGGCAGCGGTTAGCGTCGACGTGGTCGGCCGGAACTTCTGCCGGAGGAGCGCGTACGCGGCTGCCGGCAGCGACGGGACGCCATCCAGGTTGCTGCACCTAGGGTTCTGAAGTACGTACCTGCGCACGCAGAGAGAATCACTCCTCAGGTTAAACAGAAAAAAAAATATAAAACTTGGGACTTGGAGAAAGGGAGGGAGACGGGCGGGATTGTGGCGTGCGCCTGTGATTTGGCGTAAAGAGGCGTACTTCCAGATGAGAGGGATGAAGTGGCCGGAGATGCCGGCCGCGGAAAACTCCGAGCGGATGTAGGCGGCGTCGAAGACGGAACGGCGCGACGACGTCGCCCTCGATGACGACGCCATTGGGGTCCGAAGGAGGAAGGGGAAGGGACGCGGCGGCCGGTGGTGTTTGGGACTTCGGGTGCGAAATTGCGTTTGCGGCTTGAGTGGAGTACTGGAGTGGGGGCTCTGGTGTGGGGTTTCTGACAGGGCTTTGAATGAACCGTGGAAGTCTAATCGAGCGCGCAGTGACACAGGCCTTGTCTAGATTCCAAATTTTTTCACTTTCTTTTCATCACATTAAATCTTTGACACATGCATAGAGTATTAAATATAAATAAAAAAAATAACTAATTACACAGTTTAATTATAAATTACGAGACAAATCTTTTGAGCCCAATTAGACCATGATTAGATAATAATTATTAAATACAAACGAAAATGCTACAGTGTCAAATACTAATTTCTAACCGCAAACTAAACGAGGCCACAATCAGTCTACTCGCTCGGTCAAAAAAGAAAAGATACGTACGGCTCAAACTATCTCAACTTTTAATATAATTATAGAAAATATGTGTAATATTTATATTTTAAAATAAATTTATTATAAAAATATATTCAAAAGGTTTATCTAATGATACTAATTTTATATTATAATTATTAATATTTTTATATATAATTGGTTAAAGTTAAAAAAATTTGATTTTTTGAAGTGAGAACGATATGTATCCTAGATAGAGGGAGTACTGTACAGTGTATAACCGTTCCAAATTCTAAGATATTTTAAGTTTAGTAGATATATTATTTTTTACTACTCCCTCACTCGGTCCAAGAAAAAAAATACAATTATAGGATAATAAGTAGCTCAAGTTTGACTAAACTTATAGTAAACAATATTATCATTTATGCCTCTAAATAAATTTATGATAAAAAATATATTTTATAACTAATCTAATGGTATTTATTTTATATCATACTTCATCCGGTTTGCTAAAGAATATCGTTGTGGAAAGCGACACGGTCTCAAAAACACCTTTGACTATTACTTTTTGATATAAAATATTTATAAAATATAGTCCATATATACTTTTATGAAACTACATTTCGAGATGAATTTACTTACATCACTTTTATATTTTTAAACTCAACCCAAAAAAAAATTATTTGTAGTCAAAGTTTAAAATGTTTGACTTAAGACAACCTCAAAACAACATTCTTTAGGAAACCAAGGGAGTAAATATTAACAGTTTTTATAAAATTTATTCAAAATTCAAACTATTTGATTTCTCAAAATGCGAGAATTGCATTCTTTTGTGAACAAAAGGAGTATATATCTAGAGTTAAGGTATATCCAAGTACATAGAAAAAAACTTGACCCGCGGGGTACGACGGCCCGGGCATCCTGCTTACTAAGATAGAAGGAAACCTTCTCACGTAGGCGAAAAAACCACGAACCTCTACTCGACATTGGGCCAGGTCCTTAGACCTATGCTTTGGTGCGAGATAGACAAGGAGATTTTTTTTACAATGCTCAATTACTGTGCATGCAAGATGGGGAGTCAAACTCTCAACCTGGAGCTTCCACGACGAGGTCGCCACCAATTGAGCTATCAGCTTGTCCGCATATAGCAAAACCTATATATGTGGAAAAGCCAATCTTATAATTTAGAATAGAGAGTAACTGGGATAAAAGAAATGCATGTCTAATTTGAATTGAGCTGAGCCGAGTATCCCAATAATTTTCTAAACCCATTTCTATATCAACTTTTTCCAGTGGTTTTATTTGTGTCGATCGAGATATTAGCACTTTTGACGTAGTTTTATCATGATGAGTGCTAACTTTTCAGTTGTTGTCTGAGCCTTAGGCCCTATTCCCTTGAACTATCGATCATAGTATATTATTTTTCTCTCATAATAAATCAGTGAATAGTACTTTTCAGCTTAGCTTTTCAGCGAAACAAATTAGGTGGGAGTATTTATACTCTCATCTCATCTCATAACTCTTGCAACCTATTTCGAGCCAAACTCATTCATTGCTCCCGTCTCACCTTCTCTGTCTCACCTTCTCTACTCACTTTTTTGGCGTAGATTTGAGTTTTGTGATAGTGAGCTTGAGTGAGAAAAGGAAGTGACTCCCTAAGCAAGATATTAAGTCTTTGAGCACTTGTGGCACCAGCTGTTTGTTTGTTTTCGCTTTGTTATTCTTGGAAATATGTGCTTGTTATTCTTTGAGCACTGTCAGTCAGGTGATGTTTTCTGCATAAGGCAGTCAGGTGATGCTTTCTGCATAAGGATTGCATGCTCAAGTATAGAACAGTGCTTGCGTACAATGGCCATGTCGGTGTTTTGAGTTACCACCGATGAGTAAATTTCTAGTATTGCGCGTTGGCTCGGATGGTGTGCTTAGAGAATACGAGGTTTATACTGGTTCGGGCAGAATGTCCCTACGTCCAGTTCGTCGCTGCTGCTCGTGTTACTAGCACCAAAAGTTTGTAGTAGGGGTTACAAACAGGTGAGAAAGGGAAAGGATCCTAAGTCTTTGGTGGAAAGAGTGAGCGAGTGCCGAGAGCTTGGTCGCTGCTCAGTCGTGTGTTCGTGTCGTCTTCTTGTGTTCTGATCGGTTCGGGGTGATTCCGATCGGATTGGAGTCCCCTTCATGGGACGCCCTATTTTCCCTTTTATAGGCCAAGGGAAAGCATGTGTTACAACGGAGGAAGAGAGGAGAACGAGAGAGAGAAGTCATTCAGGATCACCGGATCCTTTTTCTCCTTCATGCGGGTCCCACTGACTCTGTAGATGTCAACAGGGACAGCTCCACGTCGCGACCACATCAAAATCACTAGCGCCATCTTGTGACGTCGTCTGTCGGTCATGGCGTTCCATTCCCGCCTGACATGACGTCATGGTGGTAGCCGACGCGTCTGCCGGCGTTCGTCTGAGAGGTTAAGCGAATAAGACCTGTACACCCGACGTTATTCCTGATGTGAATCCCCAAGTATGGCCCGTTATGGCCACGGGTTACATCGGGGCGTGTCGGTCTCTTTCTTGGCGTCAGAGTTTTGACCCAGGCCCATACGCTTGACCTGGAGTGGTTGGTGGCGGTATGGGACCCCATCGGGCGAGACGGAGCCCGCACCCGAGGGGTCGAGCGAGGCAGGGCCCGCGGCCTCGGGGTCATGCGAGGTGGAGCCCGTGGCCTCGGGGTCAGGCAAGGCGGAGCCTGCCCCCAGAGGTCGGTTGAGGCGGAGCCCACGGCCTCAGGGTCGGGCGAGGCAGAGCTCGTGACCTTGGGATCGGGCGAGATGGAGCCTGCTGAAAGCTCTAGTTTGGTTTTGGTGAATTGATGAAACCCTATGTACTAACCTAGTTTATCAAAGTGATTATGAGATAGGTGGCACATTCCAAGTGGTGAAGCAAATGAAGATCATGACATGATGATGGTGATGGCATGGTGATGATCAAATGCTTTGAAAAGAAGAAAGAGAAAAACAAAAGCTCAAGGCAAAGGTGAAACTTGATATGAGCTTTTTCGTTTTGGTGATCGAGACACTTAGTGAGTGTGGTCACATTTAGGATCGATAGTCGTACTATTAAGAGGTTTGAAACTCGTATTGAAATGCGGTTATCAAAGTGCCACTAGATGTTCTAACTCATTGCATATGCATTTAGATCTAGTGGAGTGCGAGCACCCTTAAAAATGCTTGTGAAAATATGCTAACACACGTGCACAAGGTGATACACTTGATGGTTGACGCATTTGATCAAGGGTGGTGAAGTTCGGGGTCAAAAGGAGAAGTTTTGTATTGACCGGACTCTGCCTTGGGTAGTGACCGGACTCTGACCCCACGTCCGGTCAGTGGCACGCAGTGAAGGCCGCCCTCGGTCCCTTGACCGGACGCTGAAGAGAAAGAGGGACCGAACGCACAGGGGGTGCGTCCGGTCACCTAGTGACGTACGCTGACGTAAGCAACAGAAAGAGGCTGAGTTGATTGGACGCAGGCCTAGGTCCGGTCATGAGCCACCGGACGCATCCAGGCGAGAAATTCCGTCTCTAGAACCTTACTGGAAACGACCAGACTCTAGTGATGGAGCATCCGGTCACTTTGAGCAGTGCGTCTGGTCGCAACTTAACACGTGGCACGAAGCAGACTAGCTGTTAAGATCGGGCACTCAGCATTTGAGGATGATGACACGTGGCGAGCATCGAGCGACCGGACGCTGGGGTCCTACGTTCGGTTAACCTGACCGACACGTCCGGTCAGCCCGTGTTTCACTGGACAGAGGAGCCAATGGCTCTATTCGTGGGGGATCTCTATTTAAGCCACATGGCCGGCTCTAGCTCACTCTCTTGGCCATTTGCATTTATATAGCAACCTTGTGAGCTTAGTCAAAGCCCTTCCACTCATCTCTATCATTGATTTATCATCTTTGTGAGATTAGGAGAGAATCCAAGTGCATTGCTTGAGTGTTTACATCTAGAGGCATTTGGTGTTCATGTTTTGCTGCGAGATTCGCTTTGTTACTCTTGGTGGTTGTTGCCACCTAGACGGCTTGGAGTAGCGAGGATCGTCGAGCGGAGGTTGGTGATTGTCTTCGGCTCCGACCGTGGTGATTGTGAGGGGTTTTTGACCTTTTCCCGGCGGAGATCCAAAAGGTACTCTAGTAAATTGCTCGTGTCTTGTGTGATCCTCATCTTATGTTGGTTGTGCGGCACCCTATTGAGGGTTTGGCGTGTGATGCCAATTAGCGCGTGAACTTCCAAGTGGGTGAATCGCCACAACGAGGACTAGCTTATCAGCAAACAAGTGAACCTCGGTAAAAAATCATTGTGTCATCATTTGATTCCGAGGTGATTGGTCTTCATTCTTATGATTGATTGGTTCATTCTTCAACTCGGCGGTATAACCATCTTACTCTCTCTCTTTACAGTACCGCAAACTAGTTGTCAAGCTCTTTAGTGTAGCTAGTCGTGAAACCTTGTTAGTTTGGTTAGTGTGGCTCTTTAGTTAGTCTTTGAGAGCACACTAACTTAGTGTAGTGACATAGCCATTGTGTCAATAGAGACTATAGAAACAAGAATTATG